GGTTCATAATTTAATTTAATTTTAATTCAGGCGTTCATTATGCCGAGATTGTGATCTTCACTAAAATATAAAGGAATTTAATTCTACTAACCTCATTCTTAACATGGTGCCCTGAAATTATTTATTTTATTAGATTAGACATCTGGGATTATTTTTCTGTCCATGTCTCCAATGAACCACTTCTCGTTACAAACGCTGCGTTGTTAACTATCCTTTCGTTTGCATTTTATTACCTGTGTAAGAAAAACGGACCACAAAGTATATTTTCTTATTGGCAAGTGTAAAAGCAATTATACTTCTTCAAAACTACAACTTATCTGACATATTAAAGGTTTCGATTTCCGACTCCTTTCATTAAGTTTTGGAATATTTCAGAAATTTCACTGATCAATACTGAGGTTACGCAGTGACGCAGGTCGGGCCGCGTTTCTGGCGCATGCGCGTCGAATGTCATTATCGTACTCGTTACCAGTAAACGGAAATTTATTAGTCGCCTACGTAAATTACTTACAAACAAATTCACATATATTAAAAATATGATAATTTGCATTTAATAATAAAATATTAGCTGAAGAATAAGAGAAAAGTGTAATATAATTTATGAAACAGTTTTTTTATATTAAAATATTCTATTTGACAGAATCTCGTACCAACATTTGTTACAAGGGTAAGAAAAATTGCCAAAAACGTTAAATAAATATATATTTCCTTTTCTTTTTGCGTAGGAGGGAAAAATCTTCGCATAGACCCTACACTGTATTGATATTGTTATGACTGTGTGTGTTATGAGATTTTTCCCTCCTACACAATCCTCCTATATATTTATTTTATGAACTTGTAAGATTTTTGGCAATTTTTCTTACCCTTGTAACAAATGTTGGTACGAGATTCTGCCAAATAAAATATTTTAATATGAAAAACTGTTTCATAAATTATTTTACACTTTTCTCTTATTCTTCAGCTAATATTTTATTATTAAATGAAAATTGTCATATTTTTAATATATGTGAATTTGTTTGTAAGTAACATATGTAAAATATATAAAATATATAATTTTTAAGAATTTTTAACAAATTTTACGTAGGCGACTAATGAACTCCCGTTTACTGGTACGAGTACTGAAACTGAGTTCGACGCGCATGCGCCAAAAACGCCGCCCGACCTGCATCTCTGACTACATTTACACGGCACCCTTAATCGAGTTTAATAACATCCGTAGTTATGAAACTGACCAATCACAATCATTCTATTGTTACGTCTCGAGGGGGTACCGGCCGGCTTCCGGTATCGGCGCTATCCTGAGGCTATGGTGGAATGCTACTTCGCGTTTCGAGCGATAAAATTTCCGCGATGAGACTTGTCCAGCCCCAGACTTGTAGCCCGATTGGCTACAGTCGGACGCTAGATATCGCGACTATGGTTGGTTCCGTTTCGATCCACGGGCTTTCTCCCGTCTCCTCTAAGTAAGCGATGAATCTAAATAATGCGTCGGGGCAATCAGGACAACTCGCGACAGCATGCACCGTGACAGTCAGTACCGAACATACGCTGCAGGATTCGAATCTTTCAACGGCTCCCAAATGAATGTAATGCCGTAAGACTCCCTGATAGTTTCCCTTTTCATGCGCCGGTGCAGAAGTATAACATTCGGGACATTTAATAGTCCTGTCCTCTTTGTGTTGAAAGAATAATGCGGAGACGCAACATGCACTATTCAACCACGTAGAATATGGTCCAATCGCGAGTATTTGGGCGTCTATCGAGGCGCGCGCTCGCGGGTGTAAGGGACTGGTCCCATGAACTTTCGAAACGTGCGGACGCGGAAAGTGCGGATTGAAAAATAACTAGATTCTAGTGAGAAATATTACCACGCATTTTCCGCACTAATTATTCCTGATGTTCCGCATGATTTTATGCGGACGATGCGGACTATGGTCAGTGTCTACGGATTGTGAAAAAATCGTTTTTATTTTCTGACAGTAACCAAAGTGAAGGCTATTGTGCAAATTGCAAACCTGTCTGTGAAAGTCAACCTCATCTTTAAAAAACTCCAAGAGTTATTTGTACGCAATGGTAAATATCTACAGGGTGAGTGCGGGAGAACGGGACATAGGAAAACCTATGTTTAACCTAAAATTGTATACACAAACTCTTAATTAAAATTGTAAATCCTCTTAAATTCAGCCGTAAAGAGCACATTTAAGATAAAAAAAAGAAGCAATCGCCTGCTTCCTATCTGCATGAGAACCTCTTTTTGTGTTGTAAATAAAATTATTCAGGCTTTGTGAAAAATATAATATTTGCTCATAATTTCTTTCAAAAAAGTACTATTGTCTGTACATGAAATCATACACTTGCGATTAATATATCTGGAATATATGGGTTTCCCTATGTCCCGTTCTCTCGCACTCCCTCACTATGTATGTAAATTTGTACTCGGTAATAATCTTTGATCGCCCCAAAACAGGATATTAAGTATCGTCATATGAAAACTTTTCATATACTTCAAAGTACGTATGCTGAGATTAATAACAAATCGCAAAACAAAATCTCCGCTCACACCGATGTTTATACATAGACTAATTTAATTGAAACTTTGTACAGTTAAAAAAGTGTGGATACTGTGGGCTTATTTTGGCGGATGATACCCTACTATGGCACAAGTGCTTCAAAAAGTTCAATGAAGAAACGCATGCAGTCCAAATTGGCGAGGATGGTGTCGTTATTCTGAGTAAGTTGTATTATTAATAACAATAATAATAGCAATAAGCCTTTTATGTAATTACTTCCGTCAACTATCAAAACATCATATTGATTCGGATGGATTTGGGCACTTGACAATCTATCGGCACGAACGCTTTTTCCTTTTTCCAAATCTAAAGTGGACGTTCGTGGTTAATTTTTATGTTTCCGGTAGATGCGTAAATAAATAAAGTTGTACAGGTATTTATTACTGTGTATGTACAAGGTGCACATGGTGAATAATACATAAATTAAAGAAATGTATAGTTTAAAAAAATAACAATTTCAGATTGTAATATTCATTCTAATTCAAAGTCATCAAGAAAAACTAGTTGATTTTAAAGAAGCATTTGAGTTTCAAAGAAAGAATATTGTTTAATTGTCAGTAATGTATACATTACTAATATTCTTCTTATTCTTGTATGTAAGACTGCGAGTGCAAAAATATTGAAGAATGTTTTAATAGACGTTAATTAAGGTACTCATAAAAGTTTCCTCATTCATGTAGTTAAATCTGTCAAAGAGAAAAATAGAAAAAATAAATTTAATATCGTATAATGTATACTTAATAATATGTTATATTATAGTACACAAGTCGCAAATTGTACATCAGCAAGACAAAGTTTTGGATGCCGAAATGAACAATTGCGAGGACAATGATGCAATCGTGTCTGAAAGTTTGCAGAGTCAGGACGAATTGCTGATAAGCATTATGTTTGGCAAAAGAGCTCTGTGGGACAGTAATATTCCAGCAAAGGAGAGATCTAAGTTAAAGAAAAATGACCAGTGGCAGGAAGTGTACAATTTGATGGGAGGTATGTTAATATGTATATTTTAAATTAAAATACAAAATTACCTGTCAAGCCATGTCTTAGACGAAACTGGTAGGTATGATGAATTTCAGTTTTTGTCAAGTGCCAATTACTCGTAATTATTGATGTGCATGTAAAATTATGTTTACTTTTTAGGTGTCTTAAACATCAAAGAGCTGAAAGACAGGTGGAGGTATTTACGGGACCGTTTTATGAAGGCACATCGAGCACACACTCAATACACTCCAAGCGGATCTGCTGCAAACTCCAAAACGATTCCAAAATTTGCCCACTACCAACAGATGCTGTTCTTGACCAATACGGTTACTCATGCACCGTAAGTTTTCAATTCATTATAATAATGATAAAATTTTGATTCGAACCAATTTAAATTAAAAATAAATTAGCATGTATATATGTATATATATATATACATATATGAAGATTTACAATAATAAGATTTACAATAATAATTTTAAATTTTGCGGGATATTTTTTTCATATTCTACAGGAATATGAAAAAAATATATATACGTATATTATATTTAGTATAATACAAAAATATGCATGTTTTTTTATTTCAATATATCTAAAATTATCGAGTGATGATTTTCTCAAAGTTTACGATGTTACAAAGACGTACCATGCACTGTAAATACGTATGATTAAAAATGTCATAATGAACTCGATCAACATGATAATTAATCTATAATTGACTTTTTGGTAAGATTTATGAAATATACATCCAACATTTTTCTTAAATTTCAAGAAATATTTTTTGCAGTGTGGATATCACTATGAAAACAAATATCACCTACAATAATATGTTTTATTTTCCACTTAGAACTTGTACCAGTTTACCAACCACAGAAACTGCAAGAAACGAGAAAGAGGGCGAATGTGACATCGCATTAAACGTAGATACAGTTGATGCAATGGAATCTCTGACTTCCCCACCAATTAGATCAGACTTAAGCAGCTCTGCATCAAGTTCGGCGCAAATGTCAAATTGCTGCAGAAGAAATACCTCAAAGAAAAGTATGTTTAGATCATAAATAATGTAAACAACATTAATTTAATTAATTTCCATTACTTTTCAGCGCCAAGGATAACAACAATTCAAAAGTCAGGATATTACTTTTACAACTATTTCAGGGCTCGCTTTTAATTTTAATGTAATACGAAGTTTCTATTTGATAACTATGAGAGTGAAATTGATCAAAAAAACTACTGCGATTAATGAAAGTTGAGATTATACTTCTGTGATCAATGTAGGTTTCGCTTTCAATGTTATTTTCGTTGCAAGTCTCGATACGATAGTTATGAGAGTGAAATTCAGCAAACACGAACAGTACTTCTCATGGTATTAACATTGAAAGCGAAATCTAATTTCGTCACAGAAGTATTATCTTCATTTCTATTAACCTCAGTGGTGAGTGTTCAGTTTCACACTTATAGCTATCGTATTGAGACTTGTAATGAAAATAACATTGAAAGCGAAACCTATATTGGTCACAGAAGTGAAATCTCAACTTCCGTTAACCGCAGTAATTTGTTTGCTCAATTTCACTCTCACAGTTATCGAATTGAAACATCGTATTAAAATTAAAAGCGAGCCCTGAAATAGTTGTAAAAGTAATATCCTGACTTTTGAATTTTTGTTATCCTTGGCGCTGAAAAGTAATGGAAGTCACTTCTTAACAGGACATATCTGACTGCAGAATCGCCATAAACAACTCGATCGGATCTGAAAACGATGTTGATAATTTGGCATAGGTTTTATAGGTTAGGTTAAAGTCTGTTTATTAATTTCAACCTATATAATAAATGAATGAGCGTATGTACGTAATATAATAAAAAAATAGATCATAATATAATATAATATAATAATAAACACAAGAATAGTTGCCAGAAGTCGGCCAAATGTCTATAATCGTATTTAATCATATCTTTATGATCGTACTTTGCACTTGTTCATTACAAGTATATAAACTTTTTAGTGTATTTTCAAGCTAAAGTGCAGAAACAGACATTCGTACCATACTGAAATATTGTTCTTCTTTAAATTAGATCTTATTTCTTTTTGCACACTTTGACAAATAACGAAACATACACTACATGGTAATATATTTGTTTCAGAAAGACTGTCATCTTCGGTGGAAACTGAATTTCACGAAAGTGTTTTGGCTGCCTTACGTGAACCTACAGAACCTGTTAAACAAAACGACGGTGTCGACGGGTTTACCACGTTACTTGGCGAAGGACTGAGGAAACTGCCATATTCGAGGCGAGCCAGACTCCAAATAAAATTTTTAACTATGCTTGCCGATGAGACAGAACTACTCGAAGAAGAAACTAATCAGTTCCAGTGACCGATGAAATATACTTCTTTTATGTACATGCAATAATAAAAATAAATTATTAGGTAAATTATAAATCGAAATATGTTGTTTTAAATGTTTATTATTAGCATTAATAGTACAAAATTGTCAATTAGAAATCATTGCTCAATGCTTTTTGCCACTGAAACTCTACTGCTCCAAGTCCATTAAAATATTCGGTGAAAGCATTTCTAACTGTGATAGCCTCACGTTTATTTCTACCAGTATGAGGATTTATATCCCATAGTCCAGAAGAGTTTGTTCGTACGTTCTCTCGAATTGTACTATTTGATGGAATCGGAACCTTTTCATTTTGAATAATAAAATTGTGTAATACTACAGTCGCTTGCACAATTTTTCGTACACTTCTTACACTTGCAAAAATTGGTTTGCTATATATTCTCCAGCGAGCAACAAGTATTCCAAACGCACTTTCTATTATTCTTCTTGCTCGACTGAGCCTGTAATTAAATATTTTTTTCTCGATATTCAAGTTCCCACTCCGTGGAAATGGCCTCATCATATATGTAGTTAGGGGAAAGGCTTCATCTGCCACTAGAACGAAAGGTGCAACTGGTCCACTACTTCCTACTTTCTGTGATGGAGGAAGATTGAACGAGCCATTCTCAAATCTTTTTCCAATTTCGCTATGAGCAAAAACTCCCCCATCGCTTTCCCTACCTTTAGCACCTATGTCAACCATAGTGAAGCAGTATCTTGCATCACAAACTGCAAGCAAATTAATGCTATGATGGCCCTTGTAGTTGTAAAAAGAAGATCCGCTATTTGGTGGAGCCTAACAAAGATGTACAGAAATAAAGTATACATATAACCGATACTCGAAATCATATTTATACGGTTTGTATTTAAATTAATGTTGCGAATCGTAATCATGTATTGTATTTTTACCTGAATCATTACATGCTTCCCATCTATTGCCCCTATACAGTTTGGGAAGTCCCACAAGTCTTCATAGTCTTTTGCGATATCCTTCCAACTCTCTTCGTTATCCTTAATGAAAACAGAGTCCTTAAGATGGTTCCATATAGCTTCACATGTGGAATGTATGCATTTGGATATTGTATTATGTCCAACACGAAAGGCATAAGACAAGGACTTCATGCTATCTCCAGATGATAAGTATCGGAGTGTAATTTGGAGTCTGATTTTAGCTGAAATTGGAGCTCGCACTACACACTGCTTCTCAATGTCTGGCCTCACCAATTCCAATAATTTGTAAAATAATTCTGGCGACATCCTGAAGTATTCGTGATATTTTTCAACGTCATCACTTTCCATCTCTTCAATTAAATTATCACTTGCTCCTTGTTGTAGTCTTCTGCTTTCGGTAAATATTGGTCTTACCCAATACTTACGAAATTGCTTTCCTCCTTTTTTTTGCAATTAAATACAGGCTGTACAATTTGGAAATTTTTCTTTTTAATAAATTTTGTCGCCTTGGATCATTGCTGCGATTTTTCAGCCTTTTCATTAACACGGTGATTATAATAAACAATTTTTCGGCGTACATTTACCGAATTACGTGATATCCATTGGGCAGCGAGATAACCTCAAATAACCTTTCAATTTTCCAAACATCAGTTCTACGCATGTTCCGCAATTTTATATTTCCTTATGTCCCATGGCTCGAAGTATACGGAAAAATATCATGCGCCCACCAATCACAGCGCTGCTTTAGAAGAATGTTTCAATTGCTTCAGCGGAATACTATTTGCGATTGGACTACATTATATCCGCGCCCGCATTATTAGTACCATGGGACATAAGGCATTACACTTCTGCGGAATCTACGGACGGAAACATGCGGACTCTAGTTCTTTTTTGGGGTTTTCAATCCGCACTTTCCGCGTCCGCACGTTTCGAAAGTTCATGGGACCAGTCCCTAAAGGGCACATGCTATACGCGGTTCGCGGTTGACGGATTCGATTGGCGGAAAACAAGGCAATTTACCTACCTGGTGACCTTTTCCTTTAGGTGTCCGCGGGTCCTCTCCGTGCGATTCCAAAGCCCAGTGGTTGGAGGAGGAAGCTTCTCGTCTTAATCCAGTGCCCTGGCGGCCTGTCGGTTTAGATCGGCCCTCCGTTAATGTCGATGATATTAAATGTAAACGGGAGGGTGAGGTTGCCAGGAATCACGCACTCAAGCAATTGTTCAAATATAGGGATAAATTTTATATTACTGATTACAACTAGTGAGTACAGTTAATTCCACAACTTATCTTGGATTTTATAATTAGAGTTAGAATTACGATTATAATTAAAGTTAGGATTACGATTAGAATTAAAGTTAGGTTTACGATTAGAATTAAAGTTAGGTTTACAATTAGAATTAAAGTTAGAATTTCGATTGGAGTTAGAATTAGGTTTTCGATTAGAGTTAGAGTTAGAGTTATGTTCCGCGCGAAGCGTTTGGGAACGGCACGGTGATTGGTCAGGCGAGATCGCGGAGACGGACTTGGCGTGTCCGTTCTATGTCGCGCGCGGATACCTTCTG